AAATTCCCCCCCCCCCCCCCTTGTTAGTGGCTTCATGTAAGAAAGTACGTGAATACTTGGCTCATAAACATTGGTTTCAGTCAATTGTCCCAACCTCCTCCAAAGATCTTAACCCACTTCAGCTTACGGCTTTTATCTGAAATTCCCTTTCTTCTTCACTGCCCACAGCTGTGGAGAAAAACAGCTCATCAAAGACCACCCTCCACCCCCCTGACAGTGCAGCTGACCGCAATCCCAGCATGCTGCCATGCCATAAAGAGTACGAAGATGGCCAATGCTAATTATGAGTGTAACAACCTTTGAGGTTATTTTTTTAGCAGACTTTCCTTGCTGGATTTGACTGGCTCCCTTTTTCCTTCCATTTCCTCTGGGGGAACACCCCCCCCCCCCCCCCCATTATTGCAAGAGTTTGCTAAAAATATAGGTAAGCCATAATTCAAAACTGCAATTAGAAATCTAACTGAATTTCTAAAAAGTTATAAATTTCAGTCATTTTTTGGGTACACAAAAGTTCCTCAGACATCTGGTATTTCTTTAGGACTTTCTCTTGTTCATAGTCTCAGGTGTTCTGTTTCTCTTCTTGTTTCTACATATTTTTTTTTAACTGATCTCTTACTTGTCAAGATGAAGTTTGGTTCTCAATAGTGAAATTTTTTTTCTTCTGGCATTAGAACAGCTGGGCAAGAGATCTAACTTTTTAAAGGCAACTGAAGTCTTAAAAAATTGGCTAAAGAGGAAAAAAGGGTAGTTCTTACATTGTTTTACATATAAAAGCAGTTCCTTACTGTCCTCTAGTGGAGCAGTACTATCCTCACGGACACTTACTACCTTTCAAAAAAAAAAAGTGTATTGCTAAAATATTCAATTGTACCTTTTTCACTCTTATGTACCAAAATCCTCTGCAAATTGTCTCTTGTATTTTTCAGTTGAAATACTAACAAACTCTGAAGCAAGCAACTTAGTCAAATGTCAGAGTTTAAACAATGGCACATTTCAACAAGCTTTACAACTATAGATCTGTGGACACAGGATATGTATCATATATTTAGTGACACAACTGTTAAGCTATTCCTAAGTTAGCAGATGCAGACCAAAAACTGGGGTACCTCACATTTAGAAGGGGAAATGGTATCGCAGATCATAAGACTCTCTAGTAAATATACTGTGGAATTTTGGCAGTATGGAACATGAACATGAAATATGGCCAGACTGAGGGACACCTACTGAAACACAGATACATCCCCATGATACTACTCTCCCAGTTTCCTGTAAGCTAGACTTCAAAATCTCCTGAGGCAGTGGTAATATCTTTAACACATCCTTGATGATATTCTTTCCACTTTATATTCTTTTTAACCAGCCCAAACTTTTTGTATCTATAACATCCTGCAGCAGTTCCATAGCATAATCCAAGGTTCAACTGGGTAATGTAGGAAGATTCTCCTTTCTGCTTGTAACTAAACCCACTGCCTGATGCCCCTCAGAGTGCAACACCTCCCATTTACCATTTCCACACTTCATGATTTTATTGGCATCTATCACACTCCTTTTTCTGTGTCTCCTTTTGAGATTGAATCTTACCTTCTGCTTTGCAAATTCCCTCCTCCTGTTCTATATTCTAGTTCTATTTTCACAGTGAACAATGTAACCAGCTTTCTAATTTGCCCTCCACCCTTTCTCAAAACACTTACAAATAGGCTGAATGTAACAGGTCCTAGCAGAACCCCACAATAATTTCCTCCTGCTGTGGTGATTTGATATACCTTTAAACAGGTATCAGCTATGACTAAATCTATGTTTATACCATAACAGGTTGGTTCTACTATGAGCTGGCAGATGAACCATGCTTTCACACCTTCAAAGAATCTAAAAAGACCAGCAGAATGACTTGCCTTTAAAAAATATTGATTCTTCACATTGTATTTATCCATAGGTCTGAAAATCTTGTGCGTTACACTCTTATCAATTACCCCACTGTTTCCAATGCTCCATAAAACTAACCAGGCTGCAGCTCCACTGACCTCCTTGAAGTCTTTCTTTTTTTAAATCTGATGGCAAAATCATCACTTTGTACTCCTCGACCATCAAAATTGCTCCAAGTGATGAGTTCCATGCTACAGTGAGGGAGTTAGCAGTTTCTTCTCTCACATTTGAATCCATGGGAGTAGGCTATAGTCCTGGCCGCTTGCTGACACTCATTTAATTGACCTTTTCTGCCATTTCAGTTTACAACAGCTGTTCCCACCCTTCCTGCAAAGAAAGGTTCTTTAGCACTTCCAAAATGATTATCAGTGCAAGAATTCCAGCTTTTGTCACCTTACCTCTAAGTGTTCCTATTATAGCTTGATCATTTACCAACTTACTGTGAAGTTTACTCTAATAGTTCTTAAAAATAGGATTTATAATTAAGAAATGTTTTCATATAGAAAATTTTATATTTGATGAGTTACAATGTGCCTCCACTTTTCTTTTTTGTGGACGTAACTTCTATTTTGTAAAGGTTCTCCCTAGTTAAAAGCAGCCGCCTCCTACAGTACTTTTGTTGTCAAAAAGTTTTTTTTGATGGATAAATATTCAGAGCATGTAATAGTTGTCTTAAAACAATTTTCAAAATAGCTGCAAGAATTCCACATTTTTGGCAGCATCTGTTAATGTTCTTCAAAGTTTTCTAATTTTCAGGAAACTAGACTTACCTTGGCATGGATTCTTTGACTACCTGCCCCAAGAAATGAACTTTTACAGTGTGCAAACATTTATTGTCAGCATGTGTTAGTATATACGGGAATGATTAAAGATGTTCATTGTTATTTGGCTTTATGCCTTTGCTATGCCTTAGGATGCATCCCTGTGAAATGCTAAAGCAAACCATTCAGCTAAGCAGATAGGATGGGGACAGTGCATAGTGACACATCATCTTCTATTTTTCTGCAAGACCTGTGACTTCAACTTCAGAGGATTTTGTGTTACTTTGTGTTAGTTAAATCAATTTTTTTTAGTTTTCTTCTTAGGCATATGCCATAACCTCTCCACCAGCAGAACCTACCACCACTCCTATATAACTACACATGGAATTAAATGGTCCTATCCACCACATTTTTAGATACATACCTTTTTATACACACACACACACACACAAACGTATATATAAAAATACAAGAATATAAAGTACAGATACATTTTTAAAATACATATATTAAAAAAAAGTATGTATACTTTCTATTCTTTTATTTTGGTTTAAGGAACTTAAATAGTTGCTTGCTTAATGGTCTCTTTTAAAGAGAATTCTCACTGTTTGAATCTAACTCTGATTTACACTGCTTGAATATTTTATTCTATTCTAAAATGCTATTTTATTCCTAAGAATCTTCTAGTGATCTTTGGCCTGCCTAGCTATATAAAAGCATTACCCTGTCTCTGTATGCTTTTACTCTCCAAACGCAAGTATGAAACTATATTCCCTGCTACAAAAAATGAATTTAAAATACCTCTGCAGAATCCTTCCTAATCTAGTGGACAGCAATGGTTATCACCTAGGAGAACTCCATGCATAACTGTCAACCAAATTTAGAAGTACCAATGCTTATATCCTTTTCAATAAATGAGACATAGCTATACAAACAGATACAAATTAAGAAAAAAAAATTTGGATATTCTAACTTAAATGCTGAGGAAAACATGGTGCTGTACATTTAACACAAAAATGTAAGAAAGACACTTAGACTACATGGTTTTTATAGCTCCAAACTATTAACAGTAGATACCTTTCATATTTAATACAGCTTTATTACAAGTAGATATAACCATTATTGCCAAAAGAGAAAGGCTATATTTAAAAAATCCAGTGCAAAATAGAAGCACCCTACAAAATCTGCATTTCTGTTCCCATTGACAGGCACTTAGACCTTGCAAGAAAAACTGATTTCAGTGACTTCAAAGCAGTTTCTCCCTGACACAAAGTTTAGAAAGGATTTGCTGGAATTTTAGCTGCTGACTTCAAAGAAAAAAGTGGGAGACTCGTTGTCTGACAGGTGCAAAAATTAATACAAAATGTATTAACACAATATGAAACAAACGTACATTAAATAGTTTTGTTTCCTGGTACATCAGATTTTCAAATGAATTTTATAAAATTTACATATTTAATGAAATGATTTATCTATCATTGTGGAAAACACAGTTCTTTATTTCAAGTTTATATTAACTATAAATATCTAAGGACAGGAAAGATACTCTTCAAGTCAGCGTGCCTTACTTCCCCATCCTTTATGTCTTCTGCTCTTTGCCTTTTGGAGAAAACATTACAGCATAAGGCTGCCGTCTTTTTGGACGTTGACAGGGAGCAAGATCCTCTTTAATATATCCTTAAAAGAATAAGAACAAATCTGAGGTAAGAATTCCAACGTAAAAACATGTAGAACTTTAGTTTCATTTTTTGTTTACCCTCAAAAAATAACTTGTGAAATTTTTTTTCCTTTCATGGCAACTGGTTCTCACTTGACAAAAAGAGTTAGAGATCCCCGGGTGTGGTATCATTAATGAAAACACTCATCTGCTTTCTAGTAGATGACTACATAGTAATGCAATACAGACAGATAATACTGAAGAAGAGAATGGGAACTATGAATTGTTCATCTACTCAAAACAAAATTACATTTTTTGTTGTCTTTTCTACAGAAGATTTTATGTAAGAGTAACAAAGTATTTAAATACTGCAAATTCAGTTGACAAAAAAAAAAAATCAACCCACAAACCTTTTAAAAATGTATTTCCTAGTCATACACAGGAAACTTCAGGCATGTGTGCTTTGGGGGTCTAAATAGTACCTCCCTCTGTTTTCAGGGCATTGTTATTTATTAAAGACTTGTCCATCTGGAAAAAGCTAAACATGAACCTATGGATCAAAGACACCTTGAAAGCTCTCTGAAAAGTGTATAGAAAATTTCTGCAACATGCTCAACTTAGCTAACACTGATAGTAAGCAGACTTTTTATGCAAACCAGTAACAGCACCTGGCTTTTATCAAACCCTTACCACTTATCAGCACTAACATCCTCTGAAGTCAAAGTAGTAGATTCCTACTTCATAATTGGAAAATGGTGTCTATGCGACTCAGTTATTTAAAAATAAACAACAACAACATGAACAACAATGGGTTCAAGATATCAATAAGAAGTAGAAAATAGATCCTTTGTATTTACATCCACTACTTCTGAGTGACAGCTGCAATTGTTCATCATGGGAAGTCTCTCTGGTGTTTTGGTGTTCTTGTACTCTCGTATAATATGGCTTTTTACCAAGAAAGGGTTGATCTAAAGTCTGCATCTGATATGCTGTCAAGGACCATTAACAACTGAACAGCTCTTACTCTAGCAGGACAAGGAGAACACCAGGAAGCTAATTTTAATGAGGTTGCCCAGAGCGGCTGTGGAGTCTCCTTCGCTGGAGATACTCAAAACCCGCCTGGATGCCATCCTGTGCAACCTGCTCTAGGTGATCCTGCTTTAGCAGGGGGGTTGGACTAGATGATCTCCAGAGGTCCCTTCCAACCCCTACCATTCTGTGTGATTCTGTGTGCCTCAGTAAGTCTTGATTAAGCAGTATGATTTGCACTAGAAACATTATATAAGTCCCCAAAAATCAAGGCTCCCTGTTCTGAAAGATTAAGGATGATACTGTAACACTATCACACAAGAATGCATATACATCTCTGGCTATATTTTCCTACGACTGACCTGAAACTGGTACGAGAACAGATAAAAATAAGTGAAGATTAATGCTTCACAGCTAATCACATATGCACAAATAAAGATAACTCAAAGAGAATTCATATAGGGCTCCTTACCTCAGAGTTTCACCACTTCTGAAGAAATGTACATATAGTACACTACAAACTCACTGTGTTTTAACATCATTAGTAAAAACTCATTTTTACACCAAGCTCTAGGATTTAGAAGAATTATTTAGGAAAGAACAATCTTTTGTGTGAAGAGGAGTAAAAAAACCCCAGACAAAATGAAACAAAAAGTCCCAGCTTTTGAGTGTCACTAACAAGCAGGGCATATGTATTAAAAACTATTTAATCACACCCCACCTTGAACATTTCCATTACCACGTGGTATTGTGGAGCTCTAAAGATAAAGACAAAGGACATCAACAGTGCTGCCTGTCTCTCCTCGGTAAGTACAATCTCTCAGCCTTTGCCTTTGAAAATCTTGAACCAATTCTTGCTTTGATTCAAAGACATGTAGGGTTTTAATTAAGTTCTACAAAAGTCCCGATTACTCCTGCCTTCTCTATCTAGGGTCTAAGAAGGTTTCCTTAGATTCCCTTCTTCGTAGTAGTACAGGAGCTGCTAAAAAAGACAATATTTATTCAAAATAATGGCTGCCAATAAGTAAACAGACCTCAACAAGACTGGGTGAGAAAGGCTGCTTTATGAACTAGAGATAATTTCAGGGAACCA